ACAAAAGGGAAAAAAGACACAATTTGCAAATATCTTGTCATAATCAGCAAAAAGATTCAACCTGGTTTCCCCAGCAATATCCTTTACATCGATCAACCCAGTGAAGTATTACTCCTATCTTTAAAAGGTCTTGCAGAACTGATGAGAACACAAGCATTTGCTTTTGGTAACTCCCTACATATTCACTGAATGTGATTCTCTCCCTCTCTCGCTGAGGCACACAGGCTGACTGTTCTCTTACTACGATTACTTCGATGCTGCTCATACAGCTTTAGACTTTTCAGCTTTGGCGTGAAGACTTCTACAAAATAAAAACTATCCTTCCCTACTGGAATGAATCTTTTCTACTTATATCCCTGACCATTTGTCTTTTCTGTGGGTCATAAAAATTACCTTGTTAATACCCCAGCAATTATATCACCAGGTAGCTTACTTAGTCATTTTAACTTAAGTCACATGATTTCTTGGGGAGGCTGTCTTTAACTCATTATTCCAAATGTTATGTCTATTATGCTTGAGAGGGATAGTAGGAACTGCCGTTGCTGGAGAATCTGAGATAACATGGTGTAGAACTGGATGAACACAGCAGGCCAGGCAGCATCAGAGGAGCAGGAAAGCTGACGTTTCGGGTCTGGACCCTCCTTCTGAAGAAGGACCCCCAAAAGGTCAGCTTTCCTGCTGTGTTCATCCAGCTCTACACCTTGTTATCTCTATTATGCTTGGACTTGAGAAGGACACAATCCCTGTATAGTTCTGGAATTTTTGTGAGTAGCGATTTACCTACGAATTTTTCATATTCATGATTTTTTGCCAGTAAAAACAAAAACTTGATGGTGACCCAAATTTAGGTGTAAAGTGAGAATTGCAGGCATGTGGAGTATTCCAAGTTTTTTGTGTTTACAAATTCGATATCTAACAGTGATATCTTGTGTTTTAGATGTGTTGATCCTTCCAAATAATTGTTTGTGCCAGTGTTAAATTCAACAGTGATACGTGGTAACATAACAGAAGAGTAAGTTGGCAGAGGAATTGTATTGGAAGAGCATAGCTACTGAGTTTCCATGTAAAAGAGGTGCATCTGTGGAGAATATATCATACAAAACTGAAATGCAAATCCTGAAGTATTGACCACATACATGATCATTCAATTGCAAACAGCTAACTCTGAATAAAGCAAATATTGTCTATATAATAAATGACTGACAAATATTACAACTATCTAGTAAAAAGGTGTTTTCTGCCAGAATATGGCATCACTCTTGTTCCCTCTTCTTCATAAAGGGGAGATGTATGAGCTGTTGCACAACGTGAGAAGTGTTTGTCTGTTGTATTTTTGGTCACTTTTGCCCTGCTGTGAACCTCTGGATAAAATGAAATTCTGTTCACTTGATGTGAAAGAAGGAAGTGATCATGGACATTATTCCTGTTTACAATGTCTCATCACAGGAGAGTTTTTTTTAAACAGATGGTAGAGGATTGTCAGTTTTACATGTAAAGAAAATGAAGGCTGCAGTCATTTTCAAATTAGTCCCACTGTCCTCCTCTTCAAGTATTTATCCAATTCCCTTTTGAATTTTACTATTGAATCTGTTTTCACTGTCCTTTCAGCTCAAATGACATGCTGTGTTTCAAAATATTCTTCTCATCTTGACTCTGATTCTTCTGCTAATTGCATGAAATTTCTGTACCTTTTCTCAACCATCTGTCAATGGAGGTTGATAGTCTTCTTGCAGGGTTTCAAGGGTAACAGTCTAAATTAAACCTTAATGGAATTCTGCTCTTCTAAAACTGAAATTTAATCAAGAGAACTAGAATTATCAAGAGGAAGTTTGTGCTTGGTTGAAAAAAATGAACTGACACATGCAGTTGTAAACTACGGGAATGCATATTTTTGTTCCGACCTGACAAAAGTTTTCTTAAAATATGAAACATGCTTCAGGAAAACCATTTCTTTGGTACCCTTTTCTTTGAATTATTAAAAGAAGGAAAACTTAGCAGCGTTTAAGTGAAATAATCTAAACCACTCCCCTCCACCCCCAAGTTTGCAGTGCTCTTTCAAGTAATCGTTGGATATGGGATCAGATTGCATGTGGACTGCAAAGTCTTCCCAGGATAGACTGTTCCTGAACTTTCTGAACTCATGTTAAACTACTGCAAGTCGAGCTGGTCTCCAGGCTCATGAAGTATGGGTGGTTCCATTTCTTGTACGAGATGTTTATTGAAGGATTTTCTCCCTGTTTAAGTGGATGCAACATGTCTTGTGCAGTTCTGAGAAGAGCAGAGTTTGTTCCCAGTTATTCTGACTAGCATTCCACTAACAATATTCATACTAGTGTGGAGTATGTTGATGTTTGATACACAACCACTGGCTGTTGTGCTCGACTGAATTTTGTTGGAGGAGCCTGAGTGCAGCATGACCAATATATATTCCACATAATCTTGCTAAGGAAGTTTTCCATACTAAAGACCTGAGGTGCCTGTTTGATAATTGTGATCTTTTTAGTAAAGGCTTTACAGGTTGAGCCTACCTTTTCTGCCTCAGTCCTTAATGACAGATTCATCTCTCCTGTATGATGTGCGAGAATATTTGCTAGAAAACATGTGGCCACAATGTGATTCAATAATCACATTTTCTGTCCTCTCAATCTTGTTCCATTCAATTTGTACAACATGTAAATTCTGTACAGATGCATTGAGAACTTTGAAATTACATAGCACGGACCGGACCTGGACAAGTCTATGTTGCAGCTTATGCTGCACAGGAGCCACGTCCCTCTGAACTTTATCCCACTCCATAGCAGTGTATCCTTCTTTTCCTTTCTCCCATTTTGTCCAGCTTCTCCTTAAGTGTCTCTGTGTTAACCTCTAAACTGTTCCCTGTGGTAATAAAGTAGATAACACTGTGTTGAATTGCTTTATGTTTGAGGTCTTCTGGACCTTAATATGTTCTGTGGACTTGGAACAGCCTTGCTGCCAATTTTGGTGAGGTGTTGACGGCTGAAAAATATTTTGGACTAGAGCTTTAAAAGATCAGAACATGTCAGTAGTACTGTGATCCTCCTCCTTGCTGCAGATTCCAAATTCCAGTTTACTTACAGCACGTTACATGCAACAGTACATCAGTTGTGTCAAATTTAAAGGACTTGAAAGGTGCAGTGATGTTCAGAACAGACAACATAACAGTGGGAACTAAGATTACTTTTACCATTTCCTCAAAAGACTGCCATTCTCTTCACTTTGATTTGTAGAGCAGGCTCAATGGGCTGAATAGCCTAATCATGCTGCTGCTTTGTATGTTTGATTAGTGAAGGCTGACTCACCTGATTTCTGGTGATGTGATAAGCACAAAGAACTCTCTATCGTACTAGAGTGGGAGTGTTTGAGCAAAGAGCCAGTACAAACAAGATGGATAGAACAGCTGCCTTCAGTGCTGTCCAATTCTGTTGTCTATAGAATACAGTATTGTAAATGTGTTTAGCAGCACGAGTTTACATACGTATAGTGCCTTTAATGTAGAGAAACTTGTCCCAATATGTTGTGTATAGATGATGGGGTTTAGGTGGGATTGGGGAGGGGGAGTGGCAGGTAGAAAACCAGCCAAATCTTTCGTTCTCCTCCGTACATGATTGCATGAGTGGTAAACTAAATTATCACTTTTAAGAGCGTTCCAATTTTTGTTACATCTTTAATTTAAAAATGTATTCAGAGTCCTGCAGACTAAAATTTTTTAAATGATTGTTAGACAGTTGGAGTGTTGAAAGTGCTGTCCGTCTATATCAGCAATCTTAATCGTAATCATGCCAATTCTGTCCATAACTACTTTGCTATGGAATAGGGCTTGGGATGGGTAAGCGTGCTTTGCAACCTTTCTTCGTTTCTCCCAGTGTAAAATGGATTAATTCTTTACATAACATGTTGCTTAAAGAGTATTTCAGTCTTTGTATTTTGAATGATCAAGTTGGGAATCTTGGGTCGTCCAGAGAAGACAATCTGCCATCCTTGCCTGTCTGGTGTACATGTAACTCAATATTCACAAGAAATATGGTTGACATTTTACTGCCCTTGGAAATGGCAGAACAAGGCATTCAGCTGAACAGCAGTTGGATTTGGACAACTAGCACTGACTTGACCAGCAATGTCCACATTCTGCAAAAAATTAAAGGATTTGTGACATTTTGGAGCTTCTGCTTCAGGCTATCTCGTCATCAAATCACTGCTGTTCTACAAAACACTGACTTGAATTCTGTCCTCCTGTGCCTGTTTAACAGATATGGCAGTTGGGCTGTTAAATAATCTGTGCTTGGAACTTCACTGGAGAAAATGCCTGTCAATTTCTGCCCTAACTTTTGTCACACTGAACCAAATAAGAATTCAATACCTTAGCTAAAGCCCTATGTCTTTATTTTCAGAATAGCCCTTGATCATTCCTCAGGAGCATAACTGGAAAAGCCTTTAGGTTGTCTCTAGGTGATTTGACTAATAAGTTCACCATGGGCTATAAGTCCATGCTCAGATGTGCTTATCATTGGATAACGATTGTAAAGTGACTTATTTTTGTCTCAGTCTGAGGCATCTGACTCCCGGAGCTGCCAGAAGTTTGTGTCTTTCTTTAAAGCTTCTAAGTTGTAATTTTCTTCTTTGTCACTTGCTGATGAAGCAAAAGCTTTCCTTTTTAAAGAAAGGATACTTTACTTTTAATAATGGGTTTCTTGATTCGACATTTGGTCTCACTTTTCTGGAACTTTGTCAGATGTGAACTCTGCACTAAATAGACTGTGTCTGCTCTCAGTGCTGGAGCCTGTAGTATCACGTTGACTGGAAAAAAATTGAAAATGCATATTCATGCTTGAAGTAATACTCCGCTGATTGAGAACCCACAAGGCTACAAATTTCATTGTTCGTGTCACTGTTAGATTTTCAGGGTTACTGTCATTGCATTGAATGGGTAGTAGTTTAACATGGTAAAACGGTCATTCACTTTCTTCTCTTCTGTTTTGTAGCTGGAGTGTGTAATGCAGTTGGTGCAGGCAGGAGTTGGAGTCAACATCGCAACATCACGATTTGCACAGACTCCAGCCCATATTGCAGCTTTTGGAGGGCATCCTCAAGGCTTGTTGTGGCTGATCCAAGCAGGGGCAGATTATAATATGCAGGTAAGCTAAAAGGACAGAAGTGTTTGCAGATTCATCTGGTCTGCATTCACCATAATGTGAATTCTGTTTCAAGGCTTCATTGCACAGAGACAGCAGTCTGGTGTAGTTTCCATCAGTTCTGACAATAATGTTCTGACACTGAGAGCAGACACCTTGGTTTAAACAGTGGTTCCAGTATCTTCCTTATAGCTACCATAAAGTTGTCGTATTGCAGATAGCCATAGAGAGCATTCACAATGCCTAGTTCCTGTCAAACGACTGAATAAAATGGAAGAAGACTCATGGACCTGCAATTCAGACAGTGGAAATGCGATGCCATGGTGTCTCTGAAGCAGTCACTGTTTTGAATAAACTTTACAGATTTATTGCAGGAAATGTGTTTTGCATGTTGTGTATCTCTCTCCCTGCATATCTACACTTCTTTCTGTGTGTCACTGTATGTCCTCTCAGTGTGTCTGTCTTTCTGTTGTAGTTCTCCTCTGTGTGTGTTATGATGTGGGTTTTTGTTGTCATTTGGATACTCTGTAGAATGTTAATAGACTAATTTGTTTTTGGAAATAATTTAGATTTTGGCAGCAAATAACCGGCTATTTTCAAAATCCTTAACCATTAAAAATATGTTTAGTTGAATTTATGGAATTAATTCCACACCGTTTACAATAATTAGGACAGTAGTTTTTTTTTAATGAATTCCCAACTGCAGGGATAATGTTCATAGTGTTCGGCCTGACCTATTTCAAAGCACATGGCACAATTCTTTATTTAGTAAGTGTTTAAAATCCTTGCTGTAAAGTATTGGATTTACTTACGTGCTCTGGTATTTTGGATGGAATTTTTTCCATCATTTTTTCCTGGTGAGGCTTCTGCAAAATATAAGACACCAACATATGAACGAGAAGCAGAAGGCCATTCAACCATTTGAATTTCCATACTATTCGATACAAGTATGACTGATCTGATTGTAGTCTCAAATCAACTTTCCTGCCTGCGCAGGTATCTTTTGACCTTGTAGTTAGTCACAAATCTGTCTACCTTTGCCTTAGATTCAATGGTCCTGTCACTCCTGCTTTCTGGGAACGGAGTTCACAAAATCCCATCCCTCTGTGAGGAAAAGAATCTCACCTTTGTCCTAAATGGGGAAACCCTTTCTTTTGTGACTCTGTTTCAAATTTGGAGTCTCTTACAAGAAAATTTACTTGGGATCTTTTGTTCCAGTAAGATCACCTCTCGTTCTTCAATATTCCAAAGAATACGGACTCAGTTCAATAGTTCATCATAGAATAGCATCCCTCATCTCAGGAATTAAGTTGAGTGAAATTTATCTAACCTGCTTTTATTTCAGTTATGTGCTTGTAAGGAAACCAGAATTGTGTATAGTAGTCCAGATGTGGTCTCATCAATGCTGTTTATATCTATCAAAACTTCCCAATTTTTATATTCCATTAAATGCCTGCATTTCATTTGCCTTGCTGTGCATGATATTAACTTTTTGTGACTTTTGTACTAGGACACCTAGATCCTTCTGTACCTCGGCTTCTACTATCTCTCCATTTAATAAATTGCTGTTTATCTGTTCTTCCTGCCAAAATGGACAAGTACATATATTGTTGCACTGCCAAAATTAACAACTTAAATTACCTGTATTAGTAACTGATAAAGTTATTAAGAAACGTATCCAGTCCTCCTCCTGCCTGCCTCGATGTACCAGAGTGTTTTGTAGTTGGTGTAAATCACTGTTGTGAACATAGAACAGTACAGGCCCTTCGGCTCACGATGTTGTGCCGACCTATTATTCTTTAAAATCAAACTACCCTGCATACCCTATGTTTTACTATCATCCATGTGCCTATCCAAGAGTCGCTCAAATGTCCCTAATATCTGACTCCACTACCACCGCCAGCAGCACATTCCACGCACCCACCACACTGCGTAAAGAACCTAGAACCACATCTCCCCTATGCCTTCCTCCAATCACCTTAAAATTATGTCCCCTCGTAATAGCCCTCTCCACCCTGGGAAAAAGTCTCTGGCTATCCACTCTATCTATGCCTCTCATTGTCTTGCACACCTCTATCAAGTCACCTCTCATCCTTCTTCACTCCAATGAGAAAAGCCCTAGCTTCCTCAACCTTTCCTCATAAGACCTGCAGCATCCTGGTAAATCTTCTCTGCACCCACTCTAAAGCTTCCAAATCCTTCCTATAATGAGGCGACCAGAACACATTATATTCCAAGTGTGGTCTAACCAGGGTTTTATAGAGCTGCAGCATAACTTTGTGGCTCTTAAACTCAATTCCCCTGCCAATTAAAGCCAACACACCAGACATCATCTTGACAACCCTATCAACTTGAACTATGGACGTGGACCCCAAGATCGCTCTGTTCCTCCACACTGCTGAGAATCCTGCCATTAACCCTGTATTCTGCATTCAAATTCGACCTTCCAAAATGAATCACTTCACACTTGAATTCCGTCTGTCACTTCTTTGCCCAGCTGTGCATCCTGTCAATGTCCCATTGCAACCTATAACAGCCCTCCACACTATCCACAACTCCACCAACCTTCGTGTCATTGGCAAACTTACTAACCCACCCTTCCACTCCCTAATCCAAGTCATATATAAAGATCACAAAGAGCAGAGATCCCAGAACAGATGCCTGCGGAACACCACTGGTCACTGAGCTCCAGGCTGAATACTTTCCATCTACTACCACCCACTGTCTTCTATTGGATAGCCAATTCTGTATCCAGACAGCCAAATTTCCCTGAATCCCATGCCTCCTTACCTTCTGAATGAGCCTACCATGGGAAACCTTATCAAATGCCTTGCTAAAATCCATATACACCACATCCACTGCTCTATGTTCATCAATGTGGTTTTGTCGCATCCTCAAAGAATTCAATAAGGCTTGTGAGGCATGACCTGCCCCTCACAAAGCCATGCTGACTATTTCTAATCAAACTGTGCTTTTCCAAATAATCATAAATGCTATCTGTCAGAATCCTCCAATAATTTGCCCACCACAGAAGTAAGACTGACTGGTCTGTTATTCCCAGGATTATCCCTGTTCTTTTTCTTGAACAAAGGAATAACATTTACCACACTCCAATCATCTGGTACTACTCCAGTGGACAGTGAGGATGCAAAGATCATCACCAAAGGCGCAGCAATCTCTTCCCTCGCTTCCCGTAGTAACCTTGGGTATATACCGTCCGGCCCAGGGGACTTATCTGTCCTCATGTTTTTCAAAATTTCTAGTACATCCTCCTTCCTAACATCAACCTGTTTGAGCATATCAGCCTGTTTCACTCTGTCCTCACAAACATCAAGGTCTCTCTCGCTGGTGAATACTGAAGCAAAGTATTCATTAAGGATCTCCTCTGACTCCATCCACAAGTTCCCCCCACTATCCCTGATTGGCCTTACCCTCACTCTGGCCATCCTCTTGTTCCTCACATAAGTATAGGACGCCTTGGGGTTTTCCTTAATCCTACCTGCCAAGGCTTTTTCATACCCCCTTCTAGCTCTCCGGAGTCCATTCTTCAGTTCCTTCCTGGCTACCATGTAGCCCTCTAGAACCCTGTCCAATCCTTGCTTCCTCAACCTTAAGTAAGCTTCGTTCTTCCTCTTGACTGGATGTTGTTCTGTAGATAAATGCATCAGTCGGCTTCTGTACAGCATAATGTCACACAGCAACAAGACAATGATCAGTTAACTCTTCTTTTATTGAGATGAATTTTAGTCAGGACACTTGGCGAACATCTTTTAAATAATTTATGCATTATGTGAACGCTCAGACAAGGCCTTCATTTATGTTTCATTTCAAAGAGAGTGCAGAGCTTCCTCAATATTGACTGTGGTGTTGAAGCACGCCCCACCACTGACTCTTATCACATTGTGGCACTCCCTCAGCACTGACCTGAAATGACAAACTGGATTATGTGGCTAAATCCGAGAGCAGAACTTCATTCCTTGGCCTATCTGATTTTGAGGCAGGAGTCCGATCCCTGAATCATGGTTGGCAGTAACATTCACAATTGACAAAGTTCCCAGTGCCTGTACTCCGATTAAAATAGTGGATACATTTTCCTTGGACTAGATTGATTGCAGCTAATATATTTAATACCTCACTGTCAATGTTAATTAGGGAAAAGTATGGTATCCCCTTTAGGCAGCAGAATATAGTATTTCTCGTTCTCAATATCAGAACAGTGTTAATGCAACAGTTTACAGGATCAGGCTATCTTAGTACATATCTCCGCTATGTATATGCCACAAGCATGATATACCTTTTCCTTCATCAGTTTGTTTGATACTTGTATCCTTCTTTATGGATCAATGGGATTGGACTTCCTGATTACATGATTATTTTGTGAGGCAATGGCAGACAGGGTTGGTGGGGATATGAGCATTAATTCTAAACTGAGGCGCCCCCACGCCCCCCCAAACTGGATTGAAAACAAAAGTGGCAATTCAAAATTATATCAAGTTCTTTACAGATTTTGGTTAAGTGCCACTTCAAAGATCAGACCAAGCAAAGAGGATGCCAAGAAGGAAAATTAAATATAGACAGTGTTAGTAACTAAAGGGGAAATAATGTCTTTGTAGCTTATGCAGACCTTGAAATGGTTAGGACTGACCTCCCTCAAAAGTTGTGAAAAACCTGCCTTCAATGTAATCTTTTTAAAGTTTGTTACCTTACACAAAAGGTGGATTGGTTTGGCTAAGTGCTCATCAAGGCTGTGATGAATCACAATCCGTCATATTGGATGGTAGAAGAAGCCTAAGAGGTGACACCATAATGTCAGGTTTCGATAATGAAAATAGTAGACAAGTGGGTTAGTAACCATAGATCAAAGATTTATAATCACTGGCAAAAGATCTAGTGAAGACGAAAAATATTTGCAATCAGAGTTGTTGGAAGCTTAAACACCATACCTATGAAAGGTGATGGAAAGCTATTCTTTAAACAATTCATTAGAAAATGAGGGACTTGCAGGTTCATGGATAGACAGTAGAGGTGTGGCATTGCATACCACTGTTGTCTCAAAAAGTTCGTCTAGCCATGATGGACTGAATGGCTGAGTTTCTATGGACTTGGAGGACAGAACTGGGGTGCTATAACATGGATCCCGGAGGTGTCTGTTGTTGCGTGGTGATGCACAGAAGACCTTTGCCATATTACGATTTGCAAAAAGTTAACTTAAATTTCAAATTTATTGTCCTCTGAGTAGAAGTATGTTATAGGACTGTAAAAGGGTACTTGGCACGTTCCTGAGAGAAAGAGTTCATCGGTTGAGGTAAATTTGGAAGTAAATATGAAAATGATGAGTTCTTAGAAACTGCAGTCTGCTGGCAACTTGGTTGTTTTTGAAAATTAGAGTTTTCCAGATTTCCCCAGATTCTGCACATTTTTTCTCCCGGGGTCAATGTATTGTGTGTTTGGTTGCATGTTTGACGAGATGAGGCAGATTTAATTTCCTCCAAGGGCTTGTCTTCCTTATCCTTGCAGCAGACACAAATGCTTCCTTTAAAACATGTATTCGTTCATGGTTACTTTAGAAAGGATTTAAATTTGAAATTGAGTTATCTGGGATAATACCAGTAATAAAAGTTACCTTCTTGTGAAATCCCCATGTTTGTTCTGTTTTTGAAACAATGGCATGTTCTCCAGTTAGTTCTGAATTTGGATTAATGAACAGTTTTCAAACCTGATATGAAATACCTGGTTATTGCTAAAGTGAAATTTCATGTATTTGCCTAGAACAGCTGGAATATATCAGCTTCCATATGAGACCTAGCGTCTGTACAGTGACGTTCATCTCTTTTTCACTGCAGGATGTTGTGGGTGAAACCCCTGTCCATAAAGCAGCACGATCAGGAAGTTTGGATTGTCTAAATGTCCTTGTATCTCATGGGGCTAAAACAGAGTAAGTGAACATTTCAGCACCTCTTAAGTAATCAGCAGAGTAATTCAGATGCTTGAGAGGCAATGGATTTAAGGCACGTTTAAAGGAGCTGTATGCTTAAGTTTTTGGCTCAAAGACTTTTAAACCAAAATAATCCCTAAAAATACTTGCCTGTAGTATTTTCAACAAGAGTCCTTTTTTCCAGTAACTTTACATTTCCATTCCAGTGAATATTGTAGTAAATACTTTCTAGCCTTTCACGTTACAAGTTCATCCTGATGACATGAGTGAGGACTATCACTGAATCCTGTAAGCTTGTTATTTGTTGGGAGGGAGTTGCATTGTGGGTACTGTTCAACTTTAACTGAATTGTAAGGGTTGTATCTTGCTGATGCATTCTTTGATTAGAAGCCTACCCACTCTAATGTAAATTGGTAGGTCAACTCCCTATAGTATCCTAGTCATATTTCATAGAGGAAGAGGTTGGGAGAGAAGGTGACCTGTAATTTCCCAAGGCACTGAGTGAGTCAGTGGCAAGTGTGTGTATTCAGAAAACCAGCTCTTGACTGGTTTGCTCAAAGCATTAAGCTCCTTTAAAACCTATAGCCCAACTGAATGCGGTATCTTGTTTCACTGTTAATTTGTTAAACCTTTCTCCAAATTATTGTTTAATAAAGACAATTACACCTCTTTTTAGTTTCTGCGCTTCCATTACTTATTCTTAAAATAGAATAAGATTGTTTTTGTTTGTCCATGATTCTCTGCAACTAATAAATCAACATCTACATCTTCAAGAACGCCCTTGAGTAAACATGTCATTGAGCAGTTACTTTATCAAGTGCTGTACTGATTGGTTTCCAAACACACTTTTTAAATTTATATTAAAATTCATAAATAGGCTAATAAAAAAGACAATGGAGGGTTAAAAGTAAATTAATGTGTAACTTTCTTATTTTTCCCTCTAGTTTTTGAAACTTGGAATTCCGCTCTAAGTTGTTTAACAAACCAAGGTATTCTCATTCAGTGGAGAGTTATCTGCTCCACTATTTAGTTTATAAGCACTTAAATTCCTGCAACCCGATAAGTACATTTACTCCTTTATTCAGTTGAGAAGCTAACTTTCTGTTTTATTAAAATTGAAATCTTAAGATGTGCTGTCTGTGGAGTGCTAATCTCAGAAAGCACTTTGGGGCAACTTTGATCCACCCCCTAGCAAAGTTGTAATGTGCAAACCCATTGAAAGCTTAGTAATGCTCCAAGAATGCAGGATTTATTCCATGCATTAAAGCCTGTTCATACTTCAGCTTCACAATTGCTTCCATTAATTTAACCACTAACTTACTGTTTTTCTTTTAATATCATGTTGAGTTCCTGGTCTCTGATTCCTTAACCTGCTCACCCATAAAGAACAGGGATTCTGATGAACAGTGAATAGATTGGGTAGAATTAGCAGTTCCCATGTTTCTGACCAGGAACTTCACACAGCAGGGATTGGGATTTTGGATGCAGTCAGTGGGTCCAGCTTTTAATTCTAACCGTGAAGGAGAACTTCCTAAGCAGGGCGATTCCTTTAATCTCCATTAATCTTTCATCCCCAGTATGTATCTCTACCTTTTATAATCACTTAATTTCTCGGAATGTGTAACCACTTCAGCTGCATATTGTCCTGTTCTTGAATGGCATTGTAACCCTTGTAAGTGTACACTTAAAAAGGTATTGCTATGAACACTGTTTGTTCAGATGTGAAGGTTTTATTTCAAACACGTTCTTTAGAAATAGTGGATTTTCACTAAATTTAATCAAAGTTCCTTTAAAGCCTTGGTCCCTTTCAACCACAAGTGATGATTCTCACAGTAGTGTCTAGTGACCCTAGCCAACAGTTCTTTTGGATTTTCACCAAGTTCCCAAGTGAGTTCCTCAATTATTTAAACAAAACTTGCGCGGTCTAATTGGTCGCATTTGCAGTGCTCAATTAAAGATTTAACTCCATAATCGACACACTAAAATTGTAGCAGTTTTGCTTAATGTCTAGATGGTTTAATACTTTTGCCATTAATTTTAAAATACACAAAGTTCTACTACATTTGCACTATGGTTTATTAACAGATAACTGTGCAGGTCTTGCATTCACATTTTATTTTTCAGTTGATTTCCACAACACTTAGCATATTTCCATTGAGCAGGAAATGCTTTTGAGCATGGTTTGTGTTCTTTTGAATTTTATTTGACCCACCTTGGTGCATGGTTGAAGATTCCATAAACTGGAGACAGCATTCACATGCTTTGTTTCTCTTCTACTCCTCCCTTTGTTACCTTTCCAAGGTCTTTCCAAATTAATCTCTGCCACAGATATTTATCAATCAATCAGTCTATTTTCTTCCTGCATTCGGGTAAAATTAGAAGATTTGTGTCACTTAGATATGCATTCATATTATTAGAAACACCTTACAGTGAATGCAGGCTAGGTACAAAAACTATCTTCTACAGTTATTACTTTCCAATGTCCCACCCATGTCAACCATCAAACTGAAGGGATTGGCAAGTATTTTACTTCCCTCTGGCTGCCTGTATATAAACACGTACACACGTTCACTCCAGCATTGTTAAAACATAATCGCAGCAGAGCGGTGACAAGACATTTGAATAGTTAAAAGTCCCAAGTTCTGTGAAAGCTACTTGTCTTCTTCGGAAATAAGGATCTAGTAGAGTACAAAAGAGTTGAAGGTATGCCCATGTATAAGGCATGTAATGATGCTGCCAACAGTAATCCCTTATTTAATCTTAGTGCTGTGGATAGGGAGTACACAGTATAACTCTAGTTCACTCCTTTGTGTACTTTCATGTTAGTCATTATTATGCTGAGACAGGTTTTTTAAAATATTACATTTATTTTAATAGTTTAGAGAAAAAACTGTAAGAAGTTATAAGTTGCAGAAAATTAATAAATGAAGGCGATTTATAAATTAATTAGTTTCAGCTAGTCCATGTGGACAGGTAGAGTTCAACAAGAGCTGGCAGTGAAATCTCCTCCATTCGTATTGCCTTGATTTAGTGAGTAGAAGCAGATAAAGACACTACTCAAGAACCACGGTTTCTAGAACCAAAGATTAGGGCAGGTTGGGCAGATACCAGTTGATACTTGTATATGGTAATGTGTGTTGGTGCAAAAATATATTGAAAATCAAGAGTGGGGCTGGAGTTGGTTTTGATAGTTAACCAAGTATTGAAAATTCATGACAAAAAGAACAATGTGATCTGCAGGGAGTTTAGTGTAAGCTAAGGATGTGATACTGTTGTAATATAAAGTGTTGATGAAGTTAGGGGTGTGGGGAATGGGATTGAGAGGGCTCAGTAATAACCACTCTTAAGGAAATAAACTAGGATGAGGGCACCAGTACAATCTAAGTGCATTACTTTTTAACAGAAAGGAAATGTAGGAAGTGGGAGTGGCTAGTGGTGAAGCCATTAAAGTGCAAACCAGGGTGTGGGAAATGCAGGAACTTGATCCTAAAGTACAAACTACTATAAAGTGAAAGAAAATTAGGATATATTGCAAGCAAAGTAGACTCCTGAATAAACAGTAGGTGCAGATTTTGTACTGCAGGAGGACTGAAATGAAACATTCTGTTCCATGATAGAGGGTGGTATTGCTTGTTGGCTGGTTGATTTTTGTTGCCTTGGATTGAAAAGGGTGCGATGACGTAGTGTTTCATTGGAGGTTATGACAGAAGTTGCTGCAAAACAGTGAAGAAAACATCAAGTTTAGTTTTGGTTTTCTATGACACTACATCCTGAAGTAGAATACGAGCGTTTGCAACATTTGGGACTTCTATTTTGAAACTCTTCCATGATCAGCTTCCTACCCACAGACATTGAAAATAAATGCATTTTGTGATGAATGCCACTTCACAGTTGAGCCTTCCCCTCACTACCAAATTTTGTTAGTATCATCGTCTATTAACTCTTCTTAAATATCAACGAGAAGGAAACTAAGAATGGTAAGATTTTTGGAAACTCCATAATTATTGTTGTCGGTGACGGCTTTTTTTCAGTAAATGTGTTGTTAACAACTGATGCCATGTTTGCCTGCACTGGTTTCCTAAATATAAAATGGATGTAAAATCTTGCATCTTGTTTAAAATTTGATGGAGGTAGGTGGATCAGGAAAGCCAAAGAAATTCTAACCTTTTTCCTATCCGTACTCTATGAAATCATGCTCAGCAGCAGGGGTGTATTGATCAAGTTGAACAGCCAGTGTCTTTTTCTGGTTTGGTTACTAGCTGTGCTCCCAAATTTGGTGGTTGTTGCTGCTGCTGCAATTTGCCTTATCATGGTTTCAGTTTTTTGTAGCAGATGCTGTAGAACATTATTTAATCAGGAAACAGAATTTAATAGAATCTAGAAAGGTCCATAGGTAATATCACTGATGTTAATTAGGGAGGTGGAGAGATGCAGTCTGTTGCCAAAAATGACCAGTACAAGGAGAATTCACAGGAATTGAAGGGAATGGATGTTCATCTTGGAGGGAAACAGAGATGCATATGAATACAGTACCCTTTTGGAGTGGAGCATAGTATAAAAGAAGGTGGTATTTCTTCAGAACAGAAACAGAAAACTAAAAGCAATACAGCCATGGGCAAGAGATCGAAATAAGGAGGAAAACCTGAGGTATCAATTAAAGCTTTTCACCTGTGTAGTTGTGTTCGGTTAATGTTTTCTCTAGGTACCCATGCTCTCTGTGTTCAGTGAAGTTAGCCTGAAGTCCATAGACCCTCCAAGGTGTCTTAAAAGGATTCCTTCCAAAGTGCACACGTACAGACAGGAGTAACCTTTTATCAGGACTTGATTTTACTATTTCAGGTTGCATCAACAAGAAGTCAAGTTCTACAGTTATAATCGAGCCAGGTGGAAATAATTAAATGATCCAGCATAGTGATAGATGAAATAAAATAAAACTGCTATTTTATTCTTGGAACGTAAGATTCTAAATGGTCACTTATAGTTGGATTATACATAATGAC